TTGGGCCCAATTTGGACATTTTCATTTAGGGGTGTACTCACTTTTGTGGCCAGTGGTTTAGACATTAATGGCTGTGTGTTGAGTTATTTTGAGGGGACAGCAAATTTACACTGTTATACAAGCTGTACACTCAATACTTTATATTGTAGCAAAGTGTCATTTCTTCAGTGTTGTCAGATGAAAAGATATAATAAAATATTTACAAAAATGTGAGGGGTGTACTCACTTCTGTGAGATACTGTATATGTGTATATACAGACTGGGTAGTACTCCAATACTTAAAGCCATATTAACGCTGCAGATTTTTGGGAGTAACTGAATTTATTTGCTCTTGAAAAAGTTTGGGGTCTGTATGTTTTTTTGTTGTTGTTTTGTTTTTTTAAGAAATTAATACATTTATTCAGAAAGAACACATTAAATTGATCAAAAGTGACAGTAAAGATCTTTATAAACTCTTTCTAATAAATGCTGTTCTTTTGACATTTCTATTCATCAAATAATCCTGAAAAAAGTATCAGTTTCCAGAAAATATTAAGCAGCACAATAATGATAAAATTTCACATTTCATCATTAATGATAATCAGAAATGTTTCTTGAGCAGCAAATCAGCATATTAGCATGATTTCTAAAGGGTCATGTGACACTGAAGACTGGAGTAATGATGCTAAAAATTCAGCTTTACATCACAGAAATAAATTACATTTCACAAAATATTCACACAGAAGACAGTTATTATAAATTGCAATAATATTTTACAGTATTACTGTTTTTTTGTGATCGTAAAAGACATCTTAAAAATCTTACCGACTCAAAACTTTTCTAACCCTAACCCAGCGATTTAGTTTTGTAGTACATTTTAGTAAGTCCTTTTTATAAAATAAGCAAGGGTGGAAAAATGAACCCACCATTTGCTTATCAAACAATCTTTTACTTGTATTGCCTGTCCATTCTTTTGTTTGTTAGATGTCATGTTTGTTTTTAGATCATGACATATTATTCATCTCCAGATCACCCTTTTGGATCCAACATGAACAATACATCCCCATTATCCCGGCCCTACTTCATATGTATACAGCGACAGATTGGAAAAACTGACCCCAACCAGGATGGCATTTGTTGGAGCAGACCAGAGACTCCTCTGCATCTTAATGAGCCCTTATGGTGTGATCCATGTGTCGCGCTCTTGTTTCTCAGGAGTGGCTAAAGAATACAGGGATCTTCCTTTGGGGAACAAGCTCAATTAGAATCCTAGTAATGAATTTTTGATGTGCTGCAATCAGATACTGAATGAATGGGACATTCTTTGCAGAGCATGAGACAGTCCGGCGGGGCTACTTCTCATGTGTTAATGCATTTCTGCTGATTTATGCAAGATAGGATTTGATCACTCATTTAAATGCCAGTTTTAGAGAACAAAATGCTCAGGATGTTTAAATCCTGTGTGCAAAATAAAATCATTTGCTTTGTACAAATACTCCACCATTCGAATATTTGGGTTTGGTTTTTAAAGTTTTTGAACATGGCGGACAAGTTTAAACAAGTACGTTTTTAACAGCTTTTTAAAAGTGTCCACAGAGTCCACAGATCTGAGATCCACAGCTTGGGAGCTACTACCTCAAAGGCACAGTCACCTTTTGTCTTTAATCTGGAGCAAGGAACAACTAGCAAGATCTGTTTGGAGGATCTCAATTTCAAGGCGGGAGGAAATAAAAGCATGTATAATCATCTCCATCTCCACTATTGACACAAAAGGCCTCAATTTTGTAATGTTTCTCAACTGATAAAAACAATTTGAACCAGATATTTTACGTGTTTATTGTCCCATATGAAGGTCTAAATTACGAAGGGAAGGTTTAACAGAATGCGATAAGGGGCCAAGACATTCCATCACTTTTGGGAGAACACCAGCAGGAGCCAAGATAAGTACTTTTTTTTCAGAATTTAACCGCAGGTAATTGTTTTCCATCCAGACTTTTACAGAGTTTATACAATTTAAAAGAACAGATAATTTCGTAGTTTCATGGGCTTAAAGGAAAAATAAAGTTGAATATCATCTGCTCAGAAATTATAGCATATACCTTGAAAAGTACTTATCAATTGCCCCAGAAGCAACAAATACAAAGCAAAAAGCAATGGGGCCAAAACAGAACCCTGGGGAACACCACAGGAGAGAGATGCTGTTGATGAGGCATAATTGTGAACTCTAGCTGAAAAAGATCTATCTGACAAGTTTCAAGGCTGTTCCAGAGATACCAACATACTGTCTGAGCCTGTCAACTAATATACAGTGATCGACGGTATCAAAAGCAGCAGTAAGATCTAATAGAACCAGAACAGAGCATTCCTCTGCATCACCTTGCTTTAATAAATCATTAAAAACTCTAAGAAGAGCAGTTTCAGTAGAGTGTAAACGCCGAAAGCCAGACTGGAATTTATCAAACACATTACCCATCTAAAACAGCTGTACGTTGTTTAACAACTACTTTTCCCAGGACCTTAGCCATAAAAGGTATAGCTTAGAAATAGGTCTATAATTTTGGGACAAGGACGGATCAAGATTTGTTTTCTTGAGATAGGTTGAACAACAGCTTGTTTAAAATAAATTGGAACATGACCAGATGTTAATTAATTATTAATTATAGTAAGCACACAGGGACCAATGGTGTCAATAACCTTTTTAAACAAAGTAGTATGTACGACATCCAGGGGACTAGTAGAGATTTTCATAGAGCTAACTAGTTTAGTGAGATCTTCTTGTGTTATCGGAGAAAATTTCTCCAAAGTTACGAAACTGGAAGTACAAGATCTCTGAAGAGAAGGAATAATATTATCTGGTATATTGTTTATCTTGTCCACAAAAAAAGGAGAGTAAACTGTTGCACTCATCAACTGAAGAGATTTGGACCGCAGGTGATGGAGGAGAGACAATGTTATGTATGGTGTCAAACTAAATGTTGGGATTATGTCTGCTACTAGAGACATTCTGGCATCTTTAACCATGTTATTAAACTCTATT